AAATAAAGCACTTTATATTTAAGTAAATATTACAGTCCCATAAGAGAATCACAAATATTTTTAGACATTTTTTGAAGAAAATTTTATGAAAAGTATTAAAAGTATACATAAAAATTATATATTTATATGATCGGTTTGGTTCGAATTTTTTACTCAAACTAAACAAATCAAACCAAACCTAATTGAACTTTTTAATCGATTTGATTTGAATTTTCGGTTTGGTGCGGTTTTTTGATTCAATTTGTACACCCTTACTCCTAACATGTGGTCAGACTTTCCGCAACTGAATAATCCTAAAAGATGGTACTTTTTTCATTTTATTATTCTCACACACTATGAGAAAGAGTCTTAGCTCCCTTTCTTCCAATATTATAGAATTATGTAAATATGTTATAATGTTTATTGTACTGTAATCTTGGTGCATGAAATTAAGTTTTAGGACCACTTCAAAGCGTAAATTTTGTAATGACGTGAGACTTTTTTCCATCGGAAAACCGATAATTTATGCTTAAATTCTTAGTTCAAGCACCAATTTAGTAATTTATTGTAAAAATCTCAAAACACTATTGTTGGACATTAAAAACTGTTGAAGAAGACAAAGTGAATCTTTTTGATTTGGTATTTTTTGACTAAATTGGTGACTGAGGATTGTTTGAGTTGGTATTTGGAAGCTTGGTTTTAAACTTAGGATCATTTGGAGCAGATTTGGGGTGGTTTGATCGAAACTGAAGTTGCAAATTCGAATAATACTTTGTTAAAAAAATTATGCCAATTGGGTAGACTTCGATGAACAGATTAGCATATAGGTAAAGTAAATATAGCATAAACTCCACAAATCCGGTCAAAAAATCCATGAAGCAAAATCATGCCAACCGGGTAGACTATAATAAATAACTTAACAAATAGGTAGAGTAAATATAGCATGAACTTGTAAGGTCCCGAAAAATTTCGCTAAGTAATTTAGGATTTCGTGGTGCCAGGTAGGCCAATTATAATATTTTATATACTATTAAAATGATATATATCAAGTGGATATGGTAAATAAGTGCATAAGTCATATAATAAGTAATGTGGGATCTAATGAGGGGCCTAAGTCTAAGTCAACTTAGAAAACTACATAATAGTCTAAAATTCCAAATGAGTTCACAAAAGTCCAAACTTTGGACGAGCATATCTACAAATATATATGGTGTTATGTGATGAACATCCTATCAAAAGAAAGATCTTCGAGTCTCGTTTCTAACGCTTCAAACCGTTTGTCATTTGGACATTCCTACACAAAGTTATGATCAAATTACCAAAGTCTGGATCTGCGATCAATTTTGCGATCGCAAAACGGTTCCGCGGACCGCATAAGCATCGCAAAGTGGAGCAGAGACGGGCAAACTATTATGCTGTCGCATATTGATTATGCTGTCACATAATTGATTATGCTGTCGCATAATTGATTATGCTGTCGCATAATTGATTATGCTGTCGAGTATGTTGTCGCATAATTGATATGGCAATTCTGCTGCCCCCAAAACGGTTATGCAATAGCATAATTGCACCACATAATTGACTTCGGGGGTCATTTTTGGAAATTTTCATATCCGACCCCATTTTGATAAATAAGCTTTGGGGCTTCATTTGGGGCTATATCCTACTGAATCTAGAGAGAGGGGAGAGTATTTTAGAGAGAGAAAGAGGGAACGTGGCCTTCCAATCACCCAATCTAGCATAAATTCTCAAGAATCAAGGAAGCTCATCTCTAGCTCACTATCCTTCTGGGTAAGTCCTACTTCTAAGATTTCATATAAGAGATTATGAGTTCAAAAATATATTATGGATTTAGAAATAGCCCATTCATGTGACACTAAGCTATAGTATGTGGGATTAAAGAACTATTTTGGGGTTGTTCTTGTTGAAATTGGTTGACGGGAGAAGGAATTTCCATTGTAGAACCTTGTAGTCTATCTCACATGTTAGATGTTTGATGAAATTCCTAAGAGAGTTATACCCTGGGAAATATTTCTAATTATTAATTGATTTTCGCTATATTTATTATTTCTAGAAGGGTTGGTGCATTGTAGTAACTCAAGAAAAGGTCAAACACGGTATGTTGGCTAAACTTTCACTCTCGGAATTAAATTCCATAATGTTTCCGTAAGTTTAAGTATGACTGGCTCAAAGTCCCTAATTTCTACGTTTCGGGTTATCCCCTATAAACTCATAAACTTGATCACTCCGAACGAGCCTTATATTGAACGATAGATGTTTAAAGTATTGGTTGCTTATTAACATGGTATGGCTTTGAGTTGTGGTTTAGATGAAAAGTGGTGTACCGATTATGTAAGAAAAACTCGATATGCTTAATACTCCTAACCGCCCGTATGCGTGCTAAATGTCTTGATTGAGTGTGTCTAGTGGTTGGTAAACTACGAAGATGTTTGAAAAATGAATTAAATAAACTGGGGACATAGAGTGTGGACAACGTTTATAATTGTGCCTAATGATGTCTATGAATTGAGGGAAATATATGAATCTCGACTCAACTGTCTTAAAATGACTTCTAAAAGTAAAATTTGCTTAAAAGCTCTATTGAGGTATGTATGGCTAACTCTTTTCTTCTTAGAATCGAACTCTTGGTGTCCGAATAATTGGTGTAAGTTTTGACTTGATCATGCTAGAATTGACTGCCTTAATGTGTTGGGTTGAAAGATTTATGTTCTGTAATTGTTCTATTTGTTAACCCGGTACAACAAAGTAATAGAAGAGAGTTAGTACTCATTTAATTGACCTCCTTTTCGAAGTCAATGAATTTCTTTCTTTTACTTTTATTTTGTTCAAGTTGCTTCAGTGAATGAAAATGCTCAATAAAGCGGGTAGGTCTTACTAGCCCTTACACTCGTCAAACTATTTACCATGTAATCATGCTATTTGAGAACGTGATTATGATTTCCAAGCTCTTTTTCCTTATGTGTGCAATGCCTTATGTTGTAGGACTTATTGACATGAATGATACTGATATTCGAACGTATAAAAAGGGAAAGATTTGAATTGTAAAATGCGTTCAAGTGCCAAGAAAGACTTAATAAATAAGGCTGCTTGTGCCACGTAACGAAAGATGGGAAAGAAATGTGAATTAAGTTGAACAATTGAAAGAGGTTATGTCTCAAGTGAGATGGCTTAGCCGATCGGGCCGAGATCGCTCCGTGTAAGAACACGATGGCATTGTTGATGAAATTATGAATATGGTTGTGTCTCACTTGAGATGGCTTAGCCGATCGGGCCGAGATCGGACTCCGTGTAAGAACACAGTGGCATTGTTAATTGTGAATATGGTTATGTCTCACTTGAGATGGCTTAGTTGATCGGGCCGAGATAGGACTCCGTGTAAGAACACAGTGGCATTGTGGATGAAATTGTGAATATGGTTATGTCTCACTTGAGATGGCTAGCCTGTCGGGCCGAGTCCGGACTCCGTGTAAAAATGCGGTGGCATTGTGAGTTGTGGCACTTGGCACTAAGATTATCAACCTAAAAGGATGGAAAAAATTGAATCAAAAACTATGTGATCCTTACTTGGTGTTTCTTTAATATTTCTGTGAAGCACTTATTGATTATTATGACCGTCTTCTCTTTGTTTCACTATTCGTTCTACTAAGATCGGTGTTTGCCTTTACATACTAGTACTATTCGACAGTACTAACGCCCCTTTACCGGGGGCGCTACATCTTTAAGTAGATGTAGGTGGTTCCATAGCATACAGTGTTGGTCGCAGCTAGTGGCGCATTCTCTTTTCAGCCGACTTGGTGAGCCCCACTTCATTTCGGGGTCCTGTATCATTGCTTATCATGTACTTTGTATTTTGAGGTATAGCCGGAGTCTTGTTGCCGGCGTTTCCATATTACTCTTCAGTTGTATTTAGAGGCTCCGTAGACAGGTTGTGGGTTGGTGTTTGATATTGGAAATTAAATTAGAAATATTGGTATTTGACAAATATGTTTTTCTTCATATCGATAAAAATTGTAATATTTTGGATATTATGGTTGAAATTGCAATGGAAACAAAATGGAAGTTGTTAATGAACAAAGTATGATAGATGGAGTTCATCTCCTCTTTATTCATGAATTAGTTTGGGTAGAATGAAACCTAACAGGCTTGCTCAGTCAGGTGTACTCGATTGAGCGCCGGTCGCGCTCCTCGATTTTGGGGCGTGACAGAACTCTACTAATTCGATAGAGAAATCTTGAAGAGAAATAACTTTATGCAAGTCCGAGGGGGCATTTTTAAATACAGCCAATTTTAAAAATATTCGGCTAAGACCAACCCCTTAGTGGGCCAGTCGACGGAGCTCTTTATTAAATTCTAAGGATCTTTTATTCTTTTATTTGTTTTCAAGAAAGGAAAACTTCAAGTTATCCCAAGATGTAACTGAAATTCAGAGTAGTGAAAATCAAGTTTTCACATTCTAAATTTTATTTCAGTTATTGGATGCTTCCCTTTGTAAACTAAAATTTAGATATTTCAAACTAGTAATTGGTGTTGGACGGTGGTTATAAAAAAGATGACAAAGCTAAAAGGTGTTAAAAATAGAAATAGTAGTATCAGAGGCGGATTCAGGATTTAAGTTTTATGGGTTCAAACGCATTATATTTTTAAAATTATGGATTCAAATCTGCCATTTTTTGTAATTTTAGTGGATTTTTATTTGTAACTTTATACTCCGCGTCCAAAATTTCGGGTCCATATGAACTTGTTGTTTTCGAGTTGCATCCGTCCCTGATTAGGATAGTCCATAGTCCATACGCCTGAATTTAAGTACAAATTATCAATATTCAAAAATATTTTAACAATAATGGATTATTAACCTTCTATTTTCTACCGTCAATTTAAGCTTTAAATATTAAAAGACTGGATTTGGGCTCGTCAAGACCAGTTCAACAAAAGCCCATTTATCATCTGTATCCTATATTTGGGCCATAAAAATCTACTAACCCATTGAACTTGAAGGCCCGTAAAATTACAGGTCCTATAGTCCTCTATCAATGAGTGGTTTTTGATTTTGAACATATAGGGTTTTCAGAATTCTCTTTAGCGAGACGAGAGTGAAACGCCATGGGTAAGTGATACCAAAAACTTCCATTTTCTATTTTTTGCATTTGCATTAAATTGTTTGTTATACTGAATGTACTAGTATTGCCCTCGTATTTGTAGCAAGGATCAAAGTGCACGAACTGAGGCAGAAATCAAAGACTGAGCTATTGGCTCAGTTGAAGGATTTGAAAGCAGAACTCGCTCTCCTCCGTGTCGCTAAAGTCACCGGCGGTGCTCCCAACAAGCTCTCTAAAATGTAAAATTTCACTCCTCTTTTCGTCTTTTATTTTTTAACATGCGGATCTAGGATTTGAAACCACTTGATGCTGAGTAACACTGCACACTAATTGTTCGTCTTCAGGGAGGCAGATATATCTGTTTTAAAAAATTCCAACTATTTATGTATTAGGAGTTTTGTCGGAAATTTATATGCTAGTACTCCTGTTCCGGAATCTATTTCCTTTTTGGTCCGTTCAAAAAAGAATTACCCCTTTCTAGATTTTGTAACAATTTAGCTTAAACTTACAATTTTACTTATGATCACATAAGTACTCTGGTCCCTTTTTGACTTATTTAGGATTTCAAAATGCAAAAATATTTATTTTTTTCTTAAATTCCGTGTCCAATCAAACAGTTTCAGGGAGCAGTAAACATAAAGAACTTCTTGTTAAGATATTTTTAATCCTGTTGTTGTATATATGTAATTGGACCTGAAAGCGGTGGACTTGCACATGCTGCTATAAAGCTACATTTGTCCATGTTGGTGCACATGTGTATGTGTATGTGAAGTGACTCATTTGCTTAAACGGATCTTTTTGACGCAGAAAGATGGTGAGGCTGTCTATAGCACAGGTTTTGACTGTGATATCACAGAAGCAGAAAACCGCACTAAGGGAAGCATACAAGAACAAGAAGTACTTGCCGCTGGACCTTCGTCCCAAGAAGACCAGAGCCATCCGTAGACGTCTTACAAAGCACCAGGTAATTAAATCCTGACCCCGACTCTTAAGGCTATGCTGTTAAGTTCTTAATAATTGAAAGAACTGCATAATGATCTGCCATTGTTTATGAAAACCTATTGCTTTTTGTTGTGATGTATAGTATAGTTTGCTAGTTTTGTACTCATTGGCTCTTTAAATGTTTAATGCGTAGTTTACGGTGGCAGTATATTATATGTCACTACTTTGCCTTAATAAAGGGCAGCACGATGCACTAAGACTCCGGCTATGCATGGGGGAAAGGATCAGGCCACATTGGGTCTATTGTACACGGCCTTACCCAGTGTTGTAAATAGTGCTCGCCTCAGCGCTAATAGCGTGAGGCGAGACGATGCGAGCTGCCATCGCTATTTTACAGTGTGGCGTAGCGTTTTCAAAAAGGCGAGCGCCTCTGCCTTTGTTGCGTGAGGCGACCTGTAGCGTGAGGCGAGCTGTAGCGTCGCTTTTTGCAAAAAAGAAAAGAAGAAGGCAGTAGCAGCGATCTAGGGCTCGCGATTTCTTTACTCTTTCTCCTTCAAGTTGACAGTAAACCTACGGCAGACCAGCGATATCCTTTCTTCTTTCTTCATCAGGTATGCTTCTCTTCATCTCTTTTCTTCTTTCTTCTTCTCCTTTCTTCTTTCTTCGAGTTCCTGTTCTGTGACTCTGTCCAATTTTTTTTCCTTCTTTCGTGTGTCTTCTTTCTTTCTTCTCTCTTCTCTCTTCTTTCTTTTTGTTTCGGGCTCTGTTTTTAATCGCTGCTGCTGCAACAGAACAGAGCAACACTGTGTTACTCTGTTTTTTCTTCCTTTTTCTTCTTCTTCTTCTTCTTCTTATCTTCTTCTTTCTTTTGGGCTCTGTTTTTTATCGCTGCTGCTGCAACATAACAGAGTCTGTGTTGCTCTGTTTTTTCTTCCTTTTTCTTCTTCTCTTTTTTTTTTTGGCTCTGTTTTTTATCACTGCTGCTGCACTCAACAGATTAGTCTGAGAAAAGCTCTGTCTTTTCTTCAGTTCATAGAGCTTCTTCAGTTCATCTTCTCTTCTTTTTTTTCTTTTTTCTGCTCTGAAATTTCCTCCTTTTTTTCAGTTAAAGAGTTAGAATTAATTGCATATTGACAGGATAATTTTTTCCTATAAAACAATATTGAAATGGCGTCATCCGATGGTAATAAAAGAAATGATATAGCTTGGGATTAGCTTGAAGAATAGATGTTGCTTGTTAGTATGAATCTACTATAGCTATATATTGAGTTTTTAATTTTTGAAAATTGATATATTTATTAATATATTATTGCTATTTGAGTTTTTAGTTATATATAGAATATTTTATTTTCTTGTATAAATTGTCGCTTCACATCAAAAAGGCGAGCGCTTCGCTGCTCGCCTCTCGCCTCAGTGAAGCGGACCCTCGTCGCTATTTGTCGCCGCACGCTATCCAAAACACTGGCCTTACCTTGCATTTCTGCAAGAGGCTGCTGCCAAGACTTGAACCCGTAACCTCTTGGTCACACAACGACAATTGTTATGGCTACGTCAAGGCTTCCCTTCAAGAGATAAAATATTATAATTAGAAATTGGCTTGAATAGAGCAAAATGAGATATGAAGGATTCATATAGGCGAACCCAACTAGATTGGGATTGTAGTGTAGTTCATTAGTGCATAGATCCATGTTCAATCTGTCTTCGTTTTCAAAATGTTGCATCTTCTTATCTCTCTGTGTATTTTTGTTTGATAAGGGTTCTTATCTCTGTGTATTGATTCAGTGTCATGCTTTCTCTGGTGCCTATTCCTTTGTACAGTATAATTGGTAACCTCTTTCTGCATACTTCTAATTCTGGAAGTAAACTTTGACCTTTTGTGTGTTTATATGTTGAGCTCACTCAGCACAACTAGTTTTAGCACCTAGCATAAACCTCAACCAGGAGGACTTTGTTGCCTTTAATGTGGTATTCTCATTTTGCTTGCTAATTTTGCCTGGAGCTCTTTGGGTTCTTTGAGATATTTATTGAAGTTACATAGGAATTTGGTCCAACGCTCCGCATAAGAAGCAGTTGCTTGCTTGAACATAAGAAGTGCTTGCTTTCTTTTGTTGTCTGGTTGATTTGGTATTTGATTTTCACTTTCAAGTGCAACTTCTAAGATTCAGATGTTGGAGTACCTTGTGGATTTGGAATAATGTATGCTTGTTCATTAATTTCTCTTGCCTCTGTTGCTTGAATCTGTACAATTTGTGATACATTGGGTATTAGCTCAAGAACTGGCCTATGTACAGTTAGATTTACATACTAATTATTATATTGCTATAAATGGTTATATGAATTCATAGAACATAAATTGGTGCTCTGTTTGAATACCCGGTGTTTTCATTGGCGCTATCTTTTTGACACGTCTTTGTGGTTCCGTCTACACTCATTTCTTCTGACTCATGGTTTATTTTTGAGTTAAGTCATTAACAACTTGCGCTGGTTTAACGTGCAGGCATCTTTGAAGACAGAAAGGGAGAAGAAGAAAGAGATGTACTTTCCGTTGAGAAAGTATGCCATTAAGGTCTAAGTATCCAAATCCAACTTAGATAGTCATTGTGATGTTAGAACTGGCAGAGCAAAGCCGTGTAACATTGTTCCTCACTGGGTGGATATATTTTTTTTCATTCCTGTTATTGCATTATGAAGTGAAATTTTTTGTTTGTTTCGTTTTTTCTAATGTTTTCCTGGTCAGAGAAGGTTCAATTTTTAGTAGTAACGTTCAAGCCTAGTTATCTGTCTTCATGCATGTGATATGTTTTACAAGATTTAATTCACCACTTTGCCGAGCTTTTGTTCAGCATCAAGGTGATGAGACGTGCATTTCATCACCAGTGAGCTCTGTTTTGAGTTTTGACTAGGGTAGCACTGGAAACAAAAAAATCTTGACGTATAATATTTCATTTTTCAATTCCTTTGCGTAATTGTTAATTTTATTTGTTTGTTAACTATTTTACTGAAAACGGAGGGAACTCTGAGAGATCCGTCCCGGCATGACCTGATCCATCTTAGTTTTTATTTCAATAACTAGTAAATTTTATCGCGCAAAATAAAATATATCATTAGATCTATGATTTAATTTCTTCTTATACCCAAATATTGAAAGTAATTACAATACGTTGTGAAATCTAATTTTCTTTAATAAGATAAACTAAAAAAGTTAATAAATTCAACTGACATGATTTTTGGTAAAACTTAGGAGGCGTTTGGACATAAACAATATGAGATTTGAAAAATAAAATAAAATAAAATGAAGTTAAGTTTAAAAAATGTATTTGAAAATTAAAATTGTATTTTGACATGCATTTAACTTGAAAAGATATTGATGTTTTGTGAAAGAAAATATTGTTTACTTGAGAAAGTGGTCTAAACCACTTTTTTCAAACTTAAAACTTATCTTCAAAAATTCAGTTTAATGCATAACTTAAAAATATTTGAAGAAGGCTTTCGAAGAAAAGGACAAAGTTCATATGGATAAACAGATCCTGAAATTTTCGAAAACCAAACTAAAAAGTCAAATATGACTTACATATTTAGTGAAAATAAAGAGAAGTCAGCGTAACAACAAAAAGCTTAAAATAAAAGTGTCCAAATATTTCTAGTGTTAAAAGCAAGTTATGCTTTACAAAATGTATATCAATTAATCAAAATGCGATTTTCTCCTAAAAGTACTCAGTTCTTGTTGTCCTAATGTCCTTGTAAGATACTCCATATGCCTTGCTTAATCTTCTCCCTAAAAGCTTCACTGTACCAATTACTCAAGTTCGCTTACAAAAGTGATTAAAAGAGTTCCAAGACTAAACAATATTCATAAATTTAGCACCGGTTCTGCAATTAAATTTAAGCGCTGGAAAGTTTTCAACACGTTGTTGTGACTTTATTGCTCTCTTTTTTTCATCAATCTTCGTATGCGAAATTTTTAATTGGACTATAGTAATTTTCTTCCTAAGTTCATGCAAAATCCACAAAAATTAGAATTTTCCCGTAATACTCTTATCATTTTAGCCTATAAATTAGAAGTGTTCCTTTTAGTATATCAACAATCAAAGTGCTTCAATGGAAAAACAGGAGAGGCAAGTGAAACTTTCATGGAGAAACAAAGCTACATTCACACAAGTCCATGTAAAAAGATATATCAAAACAGTTGTTGCTTCAGTGAAGAACACAATGCTTCTGATCCCCTGCTTCCTTTCTTCGTCGCTTGCTTCACCCCCATGATATCCACGAAACTTTAAACTCCTAGCGGAAGCTTGACTCCTTTAGCGACGTCCATGGAACTGGTGTTGGATCAAGGAAGAGCTATTTATATAGTATGATATGGTGCTGATACAACCGGAGTTCCAAATATATAGTAGTGGTGTTTATGCCATATGTGAAATTAGAAAATGATCTTGGATTGCTAATGGCTCATTCATCAGAGCAATAAACCTCCTTATGCTAAACCATTCTGCATGGTGTTTGGATATAGTGTGTTTGTTTATATAGTGGTTTAAAAATATAATGAAGAAGATTTCATTCAATTCTGTAATTAAGTGGTGCATATATAAAGGTGTGACTGAATTTTTTTGGAGAATGCATAAAGCTGTAACTGAAAGAATAATTAATTTCAAAGCTGAAACTTTATGTAAAGAATTTAACATCAGAAGCGAAAATGAATAGAAGAAGGGAAAAAAGAGGAAAAAGTTGTGAAAATTTGAGAAAAAAGATAAATAAGAATGGTGGCCTAAGAGACATGCCACATAAGCTTCTCAATTGCCCAACTTTATATATATATATATATATATATATATATAAATGTGTTCTTTCTGGTTAAAAAAATAAGGGAATCTTACAGAAATGTCCCAAAAAAGTCCCAACTTACCAACCTCTAGCCATTAATCATAGACTTTTCAAAACTAGCCAAACACATATAAAAATTAAAAACTCAAATAAATAAGGTTCTTTCTCTTCAAGAATCACACACAAAGATCTCCTTCCATATTTTTAAGCGTGATTAGCAACATTAGATGCAAGACGGAAAGGAAATTTCGTGGATTTGGTAGCAAATAAGGTGATGAAATACAAAAAAATATATATACAAGATTCCTAAAACCTAATTAAAAAATGACTTTTTTTAATGGGTATGGTTGAGATTCATTAAAAACATATAAATGAGTCAATATACAAAATTTGAGAAAGATTGGAGGTGATTTGGACTGATTTAGTTTTAAAATTCGTAGTTAAAATCGAGTCAAAAAAATTCTTCTGCGACACATACGTATCACGAATGTATCTCATACGCAGGTATACATAGTTATACATATGATACACATTTGATACATATATGATACATGTTTGATACACAAGTGATACACAGTGTGATACACATATCATTTTTTCATGTTCATCTTCTACTTCGAATTTTCAATTCAAACCACCTCAAAACTCCACCAAATCATCTCAAAACTGAGATTCAAGGTCCTTAAGATGTACCTAATCTATTCTAATAACACCCACTCAAAAGAAAGCAAAAATTTGGCCTTTTTTGGCTACAAATAGCTAATTAGATAATATTGGTAATATTTTAAAAATTGGCCAATTTTTATAATAAGTTACTTATAAATGGACATAGCTGATATTTTCATCATAACAAAGATCTATGTGGCCCAACAATGCACGATTTGAAATAATGGGTTGGCCCTCTATCCTTTTTTATTAACTTGACTTTTGTCTGCATCAGAGTTTTAACCCATGACATGTCCCTCACACGTCACAAACTTGCTGTAATTGTAACTTTTATTATAGTTGTTGTTGTAGTAGTTGTTATTATTATTATTATTTTCTTCAATTGCATATATAGTATTTATTTATTTTTTATATGCTCCTTTTTTCATTAACACTAGCTTTTTTCGTACTTTGCGCCTATATTTCCAATGGATCTTACTTTCTTTTCAGCATTTTGCCTTTCTGTGATGATTTGAAGCTTCATTGAATGAATTACTTTGCTTGGTTGCTTCTTTTCTCAATTACTACTGCTAAATTCTAATGCTCTTCTGCTACCTCTGAAGGATTGCGTATAGGTGTTCGTAACACGTAGCGGAAGACAATAATAATCCTAGGCAGATCTTTTCGTTTTTAAAATTTATTTACATGTCAAAGATCGGATCTGAGACGTACCTGGTGAAGAGAGTCTCGTTTCAAAATTTCTTCGATAGTGCGAAGACTCTATGCGAATCCACCGAGACCGATCTTTGCTATCAACTCTTTGATCAATGAAACCCGCGAAGAAAATTGAACAAAATATTGTGTTGAAATTTTTCACAAAAATCTCAACTCAATGTTAGAAGAACAAGAAACACTTTTCTTGTAATTGTATTTTCTCTCTTGGCTTGTGGTTCTCTCACTTTCACAAAGTGTTTTTCTTCTCAAGAATTAACAACGCGGCAAATCTTCTCCATCATCCTTTATATAGCATCACCTATAAACCATTTTCCTTTTTGGTTGAGGTAATGATTTACTTAGGGTAAAAGTTTATTCAAAAATAAACTTTACGGAAGAAATCGGGAGAAATTCAAAGATAGCCAGATTTACAAGTGGTCGTCCAAAAATAGCACAGTTTCAAAAGTAATCGAAATTTAGCCACTTTTCATGTAAAGATAAATCTGAGCGAAAACATTGTTCAAAATCCGGAAAATATGCCATTATATTATACTGGAGTTCCAGCATAAGTATACTTGAACTCCATCATATTATACTGGAGTTCCAGGATAAGTATGATGGAACTCCAGCATATTATACTGGAGTTCCAGGATAAGTATGCTGGAACTCCAGCATAATATGATGGAGTTCCAGCATAAGTACACTAGAACTCCAGCATAATATACTGGAGTTCCAACAAAGTATACCGGTCCAGTATAATATGCTGGAAGTTCATAGACAAGTGCTCGAATCTCCAGTATATTATGCTGGAACTTTCCGTGTGTTGGAGTTCCAGCATAATATGCTGGAAGGTCATACACAGGTGCACCGAACTCCAGTATATTATATTGGACCGGTCTCTGTTGCAGCAAAATAATGGCTATTTTTTATTGACTTGGTAAACGCTGGCTATTTTTGAATGACCAGTCCGAAAACTGACTAGACCATGCTATTTCTACGAAAAAATCGAATCACATTCCCAAGGGTAACGTGACTGAAGGTACTTTATGCTAAGTCCAATTGGACTTTCACGCCTGTTCGTCCAAGTCAACATTGGACTTTCACGTATTACAATTCTAATTCCAAATTGAACAATATAGGAGTTTTCCAATGGAAATATATATCCCATTCCTAATGGGAATCACGTGCATGCCATAGTCCTTTGTGGACTTTCATCTCCAATTCCAAAATGGTGAGGATAAACTAATATTATATACATAACTTTTACATAAATTAATATTATTTTATATTATATATATCACATATATATTTCAACCAAGAGATATAATTTAATTTTCTATTCTAAATAAAAAACTTTAATTTGTTCACAATATTAATTATATTCTCTGTGCTAGCAAAGAACATAATAATATTTCATATGAACTAATAACTAAATTATTTGACTAATTAAATTCTTTAATTTAATTAACAAATAATAAAGTAATTAATCCTTTAGCAAAGATCAGAACACTCGTTAGTGTGCAACCCCATAGGTTCAATATTAAAGCGGTAGTAGATTGATCACATCAATATACTAATCAATGGCGTCTAGCAACACTC